AAATCCATGAAGATGAACCTCCTTGTCACGTACAAGCGGGGAATCAAAACCACTTGATTCAATCACAGACCTTATGATACAGCGCACATGTGCTTACCATTCGGCCATCCAAGCCCCCATATTCAACATTTGGAGCCAAACAAATCACAAGGTCTGTCATTGAGTCAAGAGGCGTGGTTTCGATTCCCTGGTTGTACGTGACAAGGAGTAGGGTCACCTGTCCAACCTCGTGGGTTATCTCAGGGTCTTCCAGTTTCCTCCCACTGCTAAAGACCCCTACGCGCAAGCAAATTATTGAAATAAAATTGAACCATATGTTAGTCCCGAAATGACCTGGTTTTTGTCGAGTGGACTTTAAACCCCATCTCTCTCTCTTCCTCTCCCTCTCTCTTTCTTTTTGATGCCAGTGTTGAAATCTTGCGATGGTCCCTTACCTAATAAATGCTTGCTCTCAATTGATTCTTACTGTCAGCATCTTGGACATCTCAGACTTTAACATAGATTTTACATCATTAAGGCCAGTTTACAATTTAATGTTAATTTCTTAGAGTTCTTGTTGAATAGATAACTCACTCAATTCTTGTTGTGTACGATGGTTTGTTAAAATCTCAAAACTTAAATATATGGAACTAAAAGGTTTTAAACAGTAAAACCAAGAACTTTTGGTTTCTAATATTAACCTCAATTCTTGAAGAAATAAGGTAAATTTTAACAGGTTTTCCTGAAAAACAGAAATTCAAATTGTGTGGCCTAAATAGGTTGTAAAAAATGCAATTTATTCAAAATGTCTTTTAACATCAGTAGAAAAGGAAACATGTCTTTTCGAATTTCGTTGTTCAGTTTCCTTTTGGCGGTGAAAGACACATTTTGCAACCAAAATTTATTTCATACACTTTTGTTTAGCTTATAATCCTAATAAAAATGTTATATTCAAACTAAAAAGTTGAAAGACCAATGAAATAATGATATTTATTTAGTGTAAACTCATATGATTGGTCCCCTTCTTTTGACGAGAAGTGTGTTTTAAGACAGATAAGAAAAGTTGATTTGCTTTGTGTGTGTTGTGCAAATGGCATCTCTCACAAGTTGGTCCACGATTGTTGATATAGCATGTCTTAAGACAGATCAAATTTGCTGTTAGTCGTGTAACTGCATCTCTCACAAATTGGTCCAAAATTATTGATATGAATGTTGGATTTGATATAGCGCATCTCAAGTCAGATAAAATAGTTAATTTGCTCTGTGTCATGTAACTGCATCTCTCACAAACTGGTCCACAATTATTGTTAAAGCGCGTCTCAAGACAGATAAAATAGTTAATTCGCTGTGTGTCGTCAATCGTGTAACCGCATCTCTGACAAGTTGGTCCACAATTATTGATATAGCGCGTCTCAAGTCAGATAAAATAGTCAATAATTTCTCTGTATGTCGTCAATCATGTAACCGCATCTCTCACAAACTGGTCCACAATTATCAATATAGCGTGTCTCAAGACAAATAGAATAGTCAATTTGCTGTGTGTTGTCAGTTGTGTAAATGACATCTCTCACACACACAAGTTGGTCCACGATTATTGATAAAGCGCGTCTCGAGACAGATTAAATTTGCTGTTTGTCGTGTAACCAAGACCGATAAAATAGTCAATTTGCTGTGTGTCGTGTAACGGCATCTCTCACAAGTTGGTCGACAATTATTGATATACAATATTAGATTTGTTTTATTGTCTGATTTTGGTTGTAAACTATATGTATATATTAGCCTGTGTAATATTTATATTCATCTAATAATTATAGCGGTACGATGAAAGTGTAAAAATTTAATTTTAGTCACCTAATGGTCGTTTTTTGTCAACAGATTTAAATTGCTTTGTGATTATTTTGTATTTAAGAAAACTTTCAATTTTTACAGATCTGTTTCTATGATACTTTAGACCATTTTTCATGTACACGTTTCCTGCTGCGTTTACGTCGGTTATATGGAAATGATTCTATTTCATTTACATTAAACCAACTTTTTTCTGGCAGGAACGCGTACATGGAAATCAGGCCTTATGGTAAGAATATTAATCAAGAGCCTTTTGTTATTGACAACATGTCTGTAAAACCAGGCTCCGGTTTCACAAAGCATTCTCCGACTTAAGTTTAGAATTTACTCAACTTTCAATCACTGTTTATGACAAATATCTTTGATCCAGAAACACATAGTTTCTTTTTGATGTATTTGATACATTAAAACGATGTTAAAATAAGGCAAACAATTTTGAGTAAATTCTTAACTTAAGTCTGGGAATGTTTTGCTGTTTTAGCAGTTTTTGTATTTAATGTTTAATTTCAAACGGTTGTTCAAATTCAATAACAATCATCAAAAACTATTGGCTTCCTACTGTCACATAGTTTAAAATGGTCCGTCTAGATTAGATACTACATCATAACAGAGTTATGGTGTTATTTCTGGTTAGATCTATTTGATAAGGCCAACTTCATAAATTTATGATGGCTACTGCTAAATGATAAGGCCAACTTCAAGTTTGGTCAAAGGTCACGAGATGTAAACAGGGCTAGTGCTAATCTCAACCTTAACCTTAACCCTGGACCTAGCCTAAAGCTTACTGCCAATAATCATGTGCCCTTATCTTATTTACATCTCAGCGACCTTGACGAAATCTTGAGTTGGCCTTTAGAAATAGATCAATAGCCGTTATCTCCGATGATGTTTTGACAAGAGTTTTCTCATCTTTATAATTGTGTCCCGTTTTTCTATTCAGATATTAAATGTTGCTTAAACAAATTGTAAATACAACGTGATCCCATTACAACAGAAAAATTATAATCAATAATCCAAAGTGATTTGCTCCGTTGGACAAAAAATTTGCCCAAGGTGGATCAGATCTCATAATTCTATGGTTGTTGTAAATGTTGTTTTTGTTTATCACTGGTTGTTTTTGTTTATCAATGGTTGTTTTGTCTGATTATTTCCATGAATATAATAAACCTGTCAACAACGTTATGAAGCACCTATATATGTGTAATTACCTGTTTAATTAATGCTATTACGTATATATTTAATTAATTCAGTTTGTTTCGATAATTCAAAATAAATTTTATTCCGAACTACAGAACTTACATGTAGATGGTTGTTTTCTTTTTTTATTTTAAATGGGGGGAATTCAGTGGCTGAATGGTTAGCAGGTGCGCACTGTATCATAAGGTTTGTCATTGAGTTAACTGGCGGGGTTCCGATCCCCTGGTTGTACATGACAAGGAGTAGGGTCGCATGTCCAACCTTGTGGGTTTTCTCCAGGTCCTCCGGTTTCCTCCCACTGCTAAAGACCCCTGCATGCAAGCAAATTATTGAAATGAAATTGAACCATATGTTAGTCCTGAAATGACCTGGTTTGTGTCGAGTGGACATTAAACCCCATTTCTCTCTCTCCCTTTTTATTTTAAATGGGGGGATGTGTAGCCCAATGGTTTAACAAATGGTTATACATGACCAAGCCAAAGACCCCTACGTGCAAGCGAATTAATGAAATGAAATTGAACCATGTGTTAGTTCCGAAATGCCCTGGTTTGTGTCTAGTGGATGTTAACCCCAACTGTTTATGAACAAAAGGCATAAACCAATCAAATCAATACAGAACACTGACAAATTTATTTCCATAGAATGGAGGATACCATAACTTTGTATCTTATTAAAATGCCAGAGGATTGCCATCTGCACTTTGTCATTTTGTATTTTGTCAGTATAATCTTGTGCCGTGTCTAGTGGAAGTTAAACCCAGTTCTCTCTCTTATTTTAAACAAGGGGGTTGGATGGCGGAATGGTTAAGCGCGTGGGTGCTGCATCATAAGGTCTGTCATTGAGTCAACTGGCGCGGTTTCCCTGTTTGTACGTGACAAGGAGTAGGGTCGTCTGTCCAACCTTTTGGGTTTTCCCCGGGTCCTACAGTATCCTCCCACCACTAAAGACCCCAGCGTGCAATTGAAATAAAATTGAACCATATGTTAGTCCCAAAATGACCTAGTCTGTATTGAGTGGACGATAAACTCCATTTCTCTCTCTCTTGTGTTAAACACCTATTTATCCCGATGAGAATTTACTCATAATTATTTGAGTACAATGATAGCACCCTTGTTTCACCATGGACCTTTTATAGAGGTACGTGATGTCACTATCTTTTTATGTTTATAGGTTATTAAGGGTCTCGGAAATCAAGTGCTTTGCACATTGGACTCTTAATTAAGAATTCCCTAGTATTAGTCCAGGCATGACCTCAACGAGAAACGGCCATTAATTGTCATAAGTAACTCTAGTGGAGCAGTCAAGAAGTGTGTGTTGGAGAAATAAGAAGCTGTGATATAAATTTTGCAAAGAAGAGATCATGATGGTCTAAGATGGCTACCATACCATATATGGAGGAAGTGGTGCCTTTCAAGAATAAAAAACTAAGGTAGTTGGTAGTATTTGAGGAAAGTTTGAAGCAAAATACTGACAATCCAAGATGGCTGCCAAACCACATTTGGAGGAAATATAGTGCCTATCAAAAATGAAAAGCTATGGTCGTAAGTAGCATTTGTGAAAAAATTGGCTCTTTTTTAGGAGGAAAGTGCACATCCATCTCAAATCTGTTCCTAAATCGGTGAACACATTAGTCGAATCAATATGCGCCAAATTTTTATTTGGCCGATTGGGTGGACACACTAGGCGAACTCTTCACCCAATTTACCAGTCGATTGCATCACCTTTCACATCACATGATTAAACATGGCGGCAACCATGTCTTCAAACAATCATGTGACTTCTCGATATGAGTGGATGATGAGTAGTCATTGGCTAAAGAATTCTACATTCAGGCGAATGCTTTGGCGAAGCGGACACACTAGGCGAATATATCAAGCATGTTTGATTCAGGCGAATCATTCGAATAGTGTGTCCACCGCAAAAATTGCCGGACTATTATTATGAAGACTGATAAATTCTGACAAATGAGCAATATAACATCATTTTGCATAGATTTATTTACATATTTACATTATAAACACTATATACATCAACTGTTTTAACTAAAAAAACATACATTTGTAATATCAAATGATACATCTGACTCCCTTAGCCACCGTGGCTCCTGATACTAAATATACATCAAAAGAAAATGAAATGAAATGGGGTTTAACATCCTACCGTTCTGCTCCGACTTAATCACTGTGGCTCCCCACATCAAAAGGAGATAAGGTTTTTAAAACCTATCGAAGTACATAACATTGTTAAAATCTGAAGTCACCCAGCAAAGGCTTAAAACATATTTCCTCGTAAATTTGTCTGCACCACTTGTTCCCACATCCTATTTGATCTTTATTACCATTGTCCCAAAAATAACCACTTTAAATGGAGCATAATATTGCTGCTCAGCCCATAGCCGAGAGAGACGAGAACTCAGACACGGAAAAGCTCAAAAGTGCGGTTTGGCCGCAAATCCATGCATTGGCCATCCCGAAGAATTCCAGCCTGACCGTTTCTTGGCTATATGTAATTTACATACTAAACTTAGGCTGCCTGTCTACAATTAGCTCTGCTTGAGAACAGAGTTTATCAAGCATTATTGGTTTATCTCTCTGTGCCCCGGTTGTACGTGACAAGGAGTAGGGTCGCCTGTCTAACCTCATAGGTTTTCTCCGGGTCCTCCGGTTTCCTCCCACTGCTAAAGACCCCTACGCGCCAGCGAATCATTGAAATAAAATTTAACCATATGTTAGTCCCGAAATGACCTAGTTTGTGTCGAGTGGACATTAAACCCCATTTCTCTCTCTCTCTCTTTTATCTCTGTGTGGTTGTGTAGTATTTATTGCTAATATCAGACAACTTTTATCATTTTAATAAAACAAATTTAACACTGTTTAATTTAAACTGTTCTATAAGATAGAACCTGCTACTTGTAAAAGGTTATTTTTTGTGAACTGGAGGAATGTGATTGAAGTAGACTTGGTCGAGAAGGCACCTTGTAGCTCTGGTGATGTATGACCTTCCCCAATACTGGAAAGAGAAAATAAAATAAAATATATTTTTATAAAAATATAAAAATTCCACTTTATAATGTATTACCTACCGTAAATCTAGAGAGAGAGAGATGGGGTTTAACGTCCACTCAACGCAAACTAGGTCATTTCGGGACTAACACATGGTTCAATTTTATTTCTATAATTCGCTTGCGTGTAGGGGTCTTTAGCAGTGGGAGGAAACCGGAGGACCCGGAGAAAACCTATGAGGTTGGACAGGCGACCCTACTCCTTGTCACGTATAACCGGGGATTCGAAACCACACCAGTTGACTCAATGACAGACCTTATGATACAGCATGCATGTGCTAACCATTTGGCCATCCAACATCCCACCGTAAATCGAAGGAAATAAAACTAACAAAATATCAAAAATATAAAATAATACTATGTGAAATTTTCTGATTTATTTCATATTTGAGAGCGCCAGCTATTTTCTGATTTATTTCATTTCTAGTTTGACTCAGTTTGAGGTCTCTGTGGTTTATTTCGAACATTGTAAGTTGTATTAACTTTCCCCCTATTTTGGTGTGGGGTGGTGGGGGTGGCTGAATAGTTTAACATGTGCCCTTCAGATCATAAGGTCTGTCATTGAGTCAAGTGGCCTGGTTTTGATTCCCTGCTTGTACGTGACAAGGAATAGGGTCACCTGTCCAACCTCATGGGTCCTCCTTTTTCCCCATTTCTCCCCCCCCCCCAATATTTTCGCATGCTCGTCCTTATACGTAATGAAATGAAATGGGGTTTAAAGTCCTACTGTTCTGCTCCGAACTGAGCTAATGAAGACAGGCATACGTCATACATTGGCCACTTCTTATATCGAATTCCAACTGCCAAGAGATCTTTTACATGCACTTCAATGTGTACCTGAGACCTCGGTTTTCCATCCCATCTGAACAACTAGACAGCTGTCCATGTCAGGCCCTCCGTCCTGCACAACTGACCAGGGAAAACCACGCCAAAAAATCTTGATAAACTTACTCAGTCAGTGCAGGGATCGAACATGGAACCTACAGGTTATGGAGCCAGCGTCTTACCCACTGAGTCACTGTGGCTCCATGTTATATGTCAGGCCCTCCATTCTGCACCACTGACAAGGGAAAACCATGCTGGAAAATTGCAATGAGCTTTCTCGGCCTGTTTGGCTACTCATAAAGTTATTAAAGTTTAACGTGCTTTGCAGATCATAAGGTCTGTCAATGAGTTGAGAAGATAATAAACCCCATTTCTCCCCTCCAATATTTCGCATGCTCTGCCTTATACACAACCCCTAGGTGACCTTCAGATGCAGACTATGGTTCGGATTATAGTCGGAACCATCCCGACCGTGCTCTATCGTATGGTGTGGCTGGACACGACCACAGGTTAATCTATAGTACGAAAATCCGTGCAACCGAAGGTCACCCTGGCTACTCGTTAAGTTATTAAAGTAAATACTGACCCACTAGACATTTTACTTTCTGGTTTTGGTTCGCGGTTTTTCCGGACATCCCACATTCGGACACAGCAGTCCATACCACCAGAAGCTAATAGCGTAGATTGTTGATTAAAACTCAGATCATAAACAGTATCACTGTGACCTCTGAACTCTTTAAACAGAGTTCCTGAACTCAAATCCCATATTTTGATTCGTCTGTCTTCCCCTGAAATAAAAAAATAATCCAAAGTTACACTGTTGGACATGAAATGAAATGAAATGAAATGGGGTTTAATGTCCTACTGTTCTGCTCCGAACTGGGCTAGTGAAGACGAGCATACGCCATACAGTGTGCTATGAGTGAAATTTTGCCAGGGCAGCGGCACTACGGCCTACTCTTATTTTAAATTCCAACTGTGAAGGTTTGTTTTACTTGCACACCAATCTGCACATGTGGCCTCGTTTTTTTTACCACATCCGAACGACTAGACAGGGTCCATGTGAGCTCTGATGCGCTGAACCAATGACAAGGGGAAACCATACCAGAAAATCCTGCAGAACTTCTTGGCCAACACTGAGAGCGAAACCGACAACTTCTGCTTAGTGAGCCAGCGTCTTAATCACTTAGCCACTACGGCTCTGAAATAAACAATCCAAAAATTATAAAGAAAATGGAAGTTCTGTCTTATAAATAGTCTTACTATACCTGCAGAAGCAAGAAATTCTCCATTTGGTGAAAAAGCCATAGCTAGTATAGAACCATGATGTCCTTGAAGCAAACGGACAGAGCGGCCATTTTGTACGCTCCATAATCTGACTGTTTTATCACCCGAACCAGTTGCTATATAATTACCATTTGGATGAAATTTAACCACCTTAAATACAAAATATACAAAATGTGAGAGAGAAAGAGAGAGAAATGGGGTTTAGCGTCTTTAGCAGTAGGAGGAAACCGGAGGACCCGGAGAAAACCCACGAGATTGGACAGTCGACCCTACTCCTTGTCACATACAACCGGGGAATCGAAACCACGACAGTTGCTCAATGACAGACCTTATGATACAGCGCGTACACGCTAACCATTCGGCCATTAATGTTATACAAAGCTATTTGTAAGATGACTTTCTGATAGTCTTCACTTTTAAGTTTTTTTGGCCATTAGAAATGAAAATGAACTGAAATAAGGTTAAAGGTAAAAAAAACACTCACATCTACGTCATATGTATGACCAATAAAAGATCTGATTGGATAATTTCTATCAAGGCACCAAAGTTTGGCTGTTCTATCTTGTGAACAACTTGCAAAATACCCTAATGGACTGAAAATAATATATCAACATTTTTAAACAACATAAATAGGGTGACCCACCATAAATAAATATCTCCATATATCTCGACAATTTCGCCACAATATTTATATATATGCCAAGCCTCAAATCAGTTTCACACAATTATAGTCACTAAATAAACGATCATGTTGTACTTAAGAAGCTATGACCATTAATCATCTATAAATAATAGACTGAAAACTGGTTCCATGTGTCGTCCATAACATCCAGACACTCTTGAGTAAAAAATAGGTTACGTGCCCTTGTTTTGAAATTAGTCTCACTTAACCAGTCTATCGACCATTCAAGGGCTGATTGACAGGTCGGGATAATCAAGACTACTTTTTTACGAAACATAACAGAAAGCTAGAACAAGAAATTGAATTTAGAAATGAGCACGTTAGCTAGCTCAACAATTGTTTTAAGAAGCTTGTAAAAGTAAAATGAAACTACTGCTAGTATCATGTTCCTGTCTAACCCGAGTGCTTCAGAGATATTATTTGTACTAAACCAAAAGATGCTGCTCTGAACGGTACAGTTAATGATAAAGCGATTTAAAAATGAAACGAACGTAATTTCTAAATCTGCTGTAATAACCAAGAAGCTTAATTTTACTGCTATTCAAAATCGTCAACAATAAATTTTTTACGGCTGTAATAGTTAATAGATTTGTAGAGAATTGCACGTGCCATGGCTATTTATAGTATCATACTGTCAGAAAGTTGGCCTCGACACGGCGAATGTGCACGCTTCAGTGGTAGTCTCGAACTATCAGCGGTTGACTGTATTTCTGTAGGTGCATGGGCCACCCTAACAATAATTCTAAATTTCTAATGTGCTGTTGGTAGCAGAGTTCTTTAAATGACACCTAGAAGCATGGTTAACTATTCATAATAAAACAACACAAGGTATATATGGATATAACTACAGGTCACGTTTTCAAGTTAATTTCATATATATCCATATATAGCTTGTGTTGTGTTTTGTTATGAATAGGTACCAGAGTTATCAGAGAGAGAAATGGGGTTTAACATCCACTGACACAAACTAGGTCATTTCGAGACAAACATGCGGTTCAATTTTATTTCAATAATTTGCTTGCGTGTAGGGGTCTTTAGCAGTGGGAGGAAACCGGAGAAAGCCCATGCGGTTGGATAGGCAACCCTACTCCTTGTTACTTACAACCAGGGAATCAAACCACGCCAGTTGACTCAATGGCAGACATTGTGATCAAACAAGCACACATAAACCATTCAGCCCCCCCACCCCCATTTGAAGTTTCAAGCAGAGACAACTTGACTCAATGACGGACCTCGTGATGCAACACGCACGCATTAACAATTCAATAGCTTTACATTTTCAGAACAAAAATTTTCAGGTAGCCTCCCCCCTTCAATTGAAATAAATTTTTCATAAAAAAAAAAAAAAAAAAATTGAATTAAAAAATTTGATCTGATATTAAGGAGAGTGATTAGTTGTGTGTATGTGAAATGGTTCTGAAGATCAATAACTGCATGTAATGGGGTCATTCCTGGTTTCATAAATGATAATAAACCCCCAATGACTATGTAAAGGAGAGCGATTTTCAGTTTTAAGGGTATGGCAAAAAAACTCCCCTCGGTCGACATTCGGGTGAGTGGCAAGTGCTCGAGAGCGATCGCTCGCCTTAAAAAAACAATGACTGACATGTGAACAAACATTCCAACCAATTACATGTGACAGGGTAAGTCTAAGGAGGAGCCCCAGTTACGTCAGTCTGGGGCATTCTAACTGTTAAAGGATTAACATCGGTTGAAACATATTTTTGATATTGACAGATTTTACCTGATATCTAAACTCCAAACTGATGAACTATGACCTCTATATAAAACTACATTCGTATGACTTGTCATGTCCCATAATCTCACTGAAATAATACACAGATAGATAATGTAAAGGGAATATGCTGATATATTAAAGCGGTATTATGGAAGATTAGATAAAAAACTGACAGTTCTCACTATAATAGTTAAAAACTAGATAATGTAACAGGAATATACTTATTTCAAAAACACTGTAGCCTCGATTGTCATTGTTACAATAATAAACAAAGTCTTGATTATCCATTTAATCATCAACAGCTGTTGAACCGCAGATCGGATTCAAACCTACTTAAAATCGGACCCATCAGATGGCATCAAGAGTTAATTATGGTCTGGATAAGTTAATTAATGTCTAATTAATAGTTTATATCACATTTAAAACCTAAAGAAAGAGATTCATCACTTACAAGACAAAGACAGCTACCTGTTGTGAATTGAAACCACGCCAGGTGATTCAATGATATAACGCGCACATGCTAACCATTCGGCCATCCAACCCCCCTCATCACATGCTAGACAAAGATATCTATCTTGTAATATCTTGTGATGAAGAGAGAGAGAGAGAGAGAGAGAGAGAGAGATCTACCTGTTGTATCTTGTGATGAAGAGAGTAAATATTGAGAATCATGTGTAAAACATGTTTTATATACAGCACCATTATGACCTTTCATCTTTAACGTTTCTACGTCCTTCTTCCTGTAAAATCAAACATTATATTTAAACGACCAGTCCCAAAATTCTCCACTGATACAAAAATGAAATGAAATGGGGTTTAACATCCTTCTGTTCTGTTCCGACTGGGCTAATGAAGACAGGCTATGAGGGAAATTTTGCCCGGAGAGCAGCACTATGGCGTACTCTTATACTGAATTCCAACTGACAAGGGATCTTTTACATGCACGCCAATATGCACACGGACCTCAGTTTTTAGTCTTATTCGAATGACTATGCATTTTCCCAATGAACTTTCTCAGCCAACGCAGGGCTCGAACACAGAACCTCTAGGTTAGCAATGCAACGTCTTACTCGCTGAGCCACCATCAGTCATTGTTTCTTAAGGCGAGCGATTGCTTTCGAGCGCCTGCCGCTCACCTGAATGTCGACCGAGAGGAGGGTGTTTTCCCTCCCCTTAAAACTGAAAATCGCTCTCCTTTACAAAGTCATTGGGGGTTTATTACATTTATGAAACCAGGAATGACCCCATTACATGCAGTTATTGATCTTAGAACCATTTCCCATACACATAACTAATCAATCTCCTTAATATCAGATCACTCTCCTTAATTACTAAATCGCCTTTCTTATCAAAACTGGGTGAGCTTTTTTAGGGGAGCGATTTTTTCAATTTGTTGATTGAGAGGAGCTTTTTTGGCTCTCCTCTGAAATACAAAAAACAACGACTGCACCATGCCTCCTTTTTCAATTAGATGCTCTATTTGTCAGCCCTCTGCTCTGTCCAGCACCACGGACAATGGGCAGCCATGCATTATCCAAATTTTTTTATATGGTTCTTATTGTTTTTAATATGGGAGAGAGAGGACGTGGAGAAAACCCACAAGGCTGGACAGCCGACCCAACTCTACTATTTGTCCCGCACAAGTGGGGAATCGATAGCATGCCACTTGACTCAATGACAGACGTGTTATGATCTAACGCCACCCTACCCCCAACTAGTAATATGATTTTATAATTACCTATTTGTAGTGGAATCATCATCTGATATAGTATAATAATCAGCAGCTACTGATATAACCGATGGATTATTACTCATAGGTTGGGTATGTAATAAATCAGGTTTATTACTCCATAATGATATTGTTGAATCTTCAAAACCTCCACATATATACTCATTATCTGCTGATATACTCACACTACATAATCTACAATATAAAGTTACATATATACTCATTATCTGCTGATATATATAAAGTTACATATATACTCATTATCTGCAAATATATTCACACTACATAACCTACAATATAAAGTTACATATATACTCATTATCTGCAAATATATTCACACTACATAACCTACAATATAAAGTTACATATATACTGATTATCTGCTGATATATAAAGTTATGTAACTTATTATCTGCTGATATAACCTACAATATAACAAAATTTATGTCATTATTTCATCAAGGGGCCAGAAGAATAGGGCACTGGCCTCTTGATTAAAATGTTCCAGGTTAGAACCCAGCATGGGCTGTTAAAGAAAGGGGGTCTAGTTTTTTTGGTTTGACCAAAACACTGAGGTCCACTAAAATAATCCTTGGCAGTTAGCTTTCAAGAAGGTTTATGCCTTGGTTTTCATCCATCTGTATGACTAGACACTGTTTTTGACAGGCCTTCAATCTCGCACCACTGCCAAGGGGGAATCCACGTCGGACATCCTGAGGAACTAATTTCTCAGTCCATATTGGAATCGAACCCTGAACCTCCTGGTTAGTGAGCCAGCACCCTAATCGCTGAGCCACCTCGGCCTCCACACATGAAAGTAAAGTGAAAAAAATATTTAAAAGACATACCCAGATGAAGTATTAAGAAATGTAAAACAACATATAGATGATATATTAGAAGGGCCATCTTGTACTTTAGCTATACACTGTTTTAATGATGTAATAGTGACATCACTACAAACTTTACTACATCCTTCTTCTTTTTTATCTTCTTTCTTATCCTGCTCTCGTAATTCTATCTGACTATCACTCGTCGGTACTGAAATTACAATTACAATAAAATAACCTTGTAATTCTATCTGACTATAGCTAGTATAGATGTACAGAAATTACAATCAAATAACCTTGCTCTTGTAATTCTATCTGACTGTCAATGGTAGGTAGTGAAATTACAATAAAATAACCTTGAAATGAAATGAAATGGGGTTTAACGTCCTATTGTTCTGCTCCGACTGGGCTAAAAAAAGAATGGCCACAAGCCATATAGTGTGCTACGGCCTACTCTTATACTGAATTCTAACTACCAAGAAATCTTTTACATGCACGCCAATGTGTACATCTGAACGACTATACATAGTCCCTTGCCAGGTGCTCCGTCCTGCAATACTGACTAGAGGAAACCACGCTGGAAATCCCGATGAACTTTTTCGGCCAACACAGGGATTGACCACGGGACCACCAAGTTAGCGAGCCAACGTCTTACAGAGGGAAACAACTTTTGACATTTCCTAACATATATCAGACCACTAGAAGTTTTACAATATTTACCTATTATTTGTAAATAATGGTTGAATATCTGTAACATAATCATATTATCTTCTGTCTGAAAAATATACGTCAACATTGGTGTCAGTATCGACATAAGAATTCTCTTTTAGACGACATTTTGAATGAAAGGATTTGAGTCATTTCTGGTAGAAACCAACTCACAAATCACTGAAACCAGCGGTTGCAATGCAAAATACGCCCACATTTGAGTCATTTCTGGTAGAAACCAATTCACAAGTTACTGAAAAAACTATCAACAGAATATTGAAGTTCCAAATTCATTGAGTGGCATTTACTAATTGAACAGTAACTCGCTAAAATTATTCACAGAATTTACAATTACTGGTTTATTAAAGATACATTATACAAGAGCTATATCTGTCTATTGCCAGTCTTTCTTTAGGCCTGAAATGTTATATAAATTATTCATTAGACATTAATTAACAAAACAAGACCATAATCAACTCTCGATGGAATCGGATACTCAAGATTTTAACTAGATTAGAGGGGTTCGCCATTTAAAAATTTAATTTGAAAATGGGAAAGTGAGACTAAGTCATGAATATACCAGTGCCCTGGTTACCACAATGCACACATCTTGTCAAAACTACAAATAGTGATAACTTGGCTCAGAATGAAGTAATTTGATTTTTGAGCTATTATAGCAAGAATGGTTAGCTCTTTATCTAAATCTTACATAATGTATCTTTAACATAATCTGGTCTTTATCAAGTAAATGGGTATCATCGTGGAACAGTGCAAGTTAATAAATCAGTAACTGTTATTCCTCAGAAGTGATTTCAACATAGTACTCTGGTAAGCCTAGCTAGAGAGATAGAAACTGGATTTAATGTCCACTTAACACAAACTAGGTCATTTCAGGACTAACATATGTTTTAATTTTATTTCAATAATTCGCTTGGGCTTAGGGGGTCTTTAGCTGTGGGAGGAAATTGGAGAAGCCAGGGAAAACATGTGAGGTTGGACAGACCACCCTACTCCTTGTCACATACAACCAGGGAATCGATACAACACCAGTTGACTCAATGACAGACCGTATGATACGGCCATCCTACCCCCCCTGAGGATACTCAACGTTATAAAGATATGATTCAATGAAATATGTCGATACCATGCCAGTTGATCTGGCAGACCTACCTTTAAATGTCTCATTAGGTAAGACAGTGATTCTTCGGACATGGTTATAGAAAATTTATGTTCCCGGAAGTTGGCTATATCTTTACATCCAGGGACATCGCTTTTAGCTTCAAGTTTACGTAACGTTTTAATAACTGTTTTATGTACTTCATCATCTTTAAATAATGCCACATGTCGATCATAAAACTTGTGAGCTAAAATATAACAAGAAATAAAGCCATGTGACAATCATAAAACTTGTGTGCTGAAATAGAACAAGAAATAATGCCACATGACGATTATAAAACTTGTGTGCTAAAATAGAACAAGAAATAATGCCACATGACGATCAAGAAACTTGTGTGCTGAAATAGAACAAGAAATAATGTCACATGACAATCATAAAACTTGTGTGCTGAAATCATAAAACTTGTGTGCTAAAATAGAACATGAAAAAAGGCCACATGACGATAATAAAACTTGTGTGCCAAAATAGAAAATCAAATTATTTCCAAATATTAATTCTTACGGGCTGCTAATCATCATTCGTGTTTTTCGGACAATATCATTTCTTAATAGAGCTTAACGTCAACTCGACATAAACTAGGCCATTTCAGAACTAACTGATGGTTCAATTTTATTTCAATAATTTGCTTAGTTAGACAGGTGACCCAACTCCTTGTCACGAGGTACAAGAATTTTCAGTTCTTCAGAGGTTTGAATCATGTGACAGATGTTTTGTTTATTTAAAACTTAAAAATTTGAAACTAAAAGATTTTGAACAGTGCAACCAAGTAGGCCTACTTTTAGTTTAAAGAAATAAGAAGCAAAATTTTAAAATGTACAAGCGTGGAATCAAAACCATGCCACTTGACTCAATGACAGATCTTATGGTTTCAAGTGCATGCATTAAACCACTAGTAGACCCCCCCCCGCACGCCTGAGGAATAAAACTTTTAACAGGTGTTCCCGACGAACAGAAAATCAATTTGGTTTGGCCTTACCTGGAGTTTTATGTCCATTACACAACATCTCAAGGTAAACGTGTACATACATTGGATATAAGAGATTCTTTAATTCATCGCGATAGGGTTCTACAGCCTCTAATAGAAAATTCTTTAATCTGAAATATATATATAAAATCATGCAGTGTGCTATGAAGGTAATTCTGCCCGGAAATGAAATGAAATGAAATGGGGTTTAACGTCCTACTGTTCTGCTCCTATGCTGGGCTAATGAAGACGGGCATACACCATACAGTGTGCTATGTGGGAAATTTTGCCTGGACCGTGGCGCTATGGCCTACTCTTATTTCAAATTTCAACTGTCAATAAATCTTTTATGCACATGCCAATGCGTACATATATAGGACCTTAGTTTTTATCCCATCTGAACGACAATATACGTTGTCCCTTGCCAGACTCTCCATCCTAAACCACTGACAACGGGGAACCACGTCCGAAAAATCCAGATGAACTTTCTTGGCAAACAATGGTATCGAACACAAGTCCACCAGGTTAGTGGCCAACGTCTTGCTGACTTTTGACAACCTCAAAATGTTTATTTCTACATGGTTCTTGAAGGAAAGATTATTCATTGTACTCAACAAAATGGTTACTTAAAAAAGGATGGGGAAAGGGACGCTTTAGAGAGTTTGGGGGTGGTAGCCATTCATAGTTGATTACATATGAATTCATTTTGCAAAAGGGGGATCACGTGGCTAAGTGGGTAAGACGCTGGCTCGCTAGCCTGGAGGTCGGGTGTTCGATTCCTGCATTGGCCGAGAAAGTTCATCCAGATTTTCCGGCGTGGTTTCTCCTTGTCAGTGATGCAGGAAGGAGCGCCCTGACAAGGACAGCTGTCTAGTCGTTCGGATGGGACGAAAAACCGAGGTCCTGTGTACATATTGGCACGCACGTAAAAGATCCCTTGGCAGTTGGAATTCGATATAAGAGTAGGCCGTAGCGCCGCTGCCTGGGCAAAATTTCCCTCATAGCACACTGTATGACGTATGCCCGTCTTCATTAGCCCAGGTTAGGAGCAGAAGAGTAGGACCTTAAACCCCATTTCATTTCATTTTGCAAAAACATATTGATTTTGAATTATGTATTTTTGAACTACATGTAATATACCCAGGACGGCCAGCGCTTTATCTAAATCTTACATAGTGCATCTTTAAGAAAACAATTAAAGGTGCATTCTATCCATAATAATAAACAATCTATGTCAAAATTTCAAACATTCGCTCAGAATAAAGTAATTTGAATGAAATTTTTAACATATTAATTTGGAATTATCTATGTTAGAACTGTTATAGCCAGTACAGTCAGCTCATTATCTAAACATTACATGCTATATCTTCAACTAAACAATTACAGGTGAATTATCCCTAAAATAAACAATCTATGTCAAATTTCAAACATTCTCTCAGAATAAATTAATTTGAATGAAATTTTTAACATATTAATTTTGAATTATCTATGTTAGAACTGTTATAGTCAGAACAGCCAGCTCATTATCTAACCCTTACATCTTACATAATGCAACTTTATTGAACCTTTGGACATACACTTGGCCATTAACTTGTCAACAAGCTACTGAATGGCTACTGTCAGCCATCAATCACTTAGAGATAATCCTGTTTGTCTATGTGTCAACATCTAATCTTTAATTGCCTTATCATTCTGTGATTTTAATCTTTTGAAGAGATTATCTAGTTTATGGTGGGTGGATATCAAACACCTCTATCTATTAAATAACTTTAAAGAATTTGCCTCGAGATATCATATATCACATACTCTTGAGGAGGAGAGATCTCTCCTAAATATATGTATCTTGTAATTGTTTTACTGTGTTCAAGACTTATCAGTTTAATTACTGGGACTGATGAATATGCGTGTCCTGTTCTTTTAGAGTAGAGATCTCTCCTAAATGTTTTTCGTGTTCAAAACTCAACAGTTTAATTATAGGGACTGGTAAATATGTGTCCTGTTCTTTTAGAGTAGAGATCTCTCCTAAATGTTTTTCATGTTCAAAACTCAACAGTTTAATTATAGGGACTGGTAAATATGTGTCCTGTTCTTTTAGAATAGAGATCTCTCCTAAATGTTTTTTCTGTGTTCAAGACTCAACAGTTTAATTATAGGAACTAATAACTATGCCCTATGCATCCGGTTCTTTTAGAGTAAAGATCTCTCCTAAATATATGTTCATTTGTTATTGCTATGAATGTATGTTTCTTGCCTTTTTTCTGTGTTCAAGAATCAACAGTTTAGGGGCTAATTAGGGACTGATATGTGCATTCATTATTGCTATACATGTATGTGTGTGTGTGTGCCATCCTTTTTGTTCTGTGGTAAAGACGAGAGCCTACAATTAATATCCATTTTAAATTTCAAATAACCATCATCATGGATCACTCTATAGGTAAGTACCGACTACCATATTTCAGATATAACATCAAGATTTTTGGCTGTTTATTTTTATTAACAAAATATTCAAAGATCATGATTAAGTCAATGGGATTTATCCATCAGAATGTATGGACTTGAAATTCCCCCTAAAATGGGGGGGGGGGGGGTCATGATCACATGTTAACATCATTTCAAAACTGAGTTTTTTACAGGACAAAGAGAGGTCTTGCCCCAGCACAGTTTTTTCCTCTCAAAAGCCCTGGTACCGTACCTTGTAAATTGTTGATCACAAGCTGTGACATCACCTGATATACTGCTATAAGATAAAACATTTTCAGTTACACTGCTACATTTAACATGTCTTCTGATACTCAATTCACACAGATTCTCATTTTGTTTACAAACTCTTTTATTTTTTACGGATGTCTTATCTTCTCCATTATCCTGCAAAAACAAAATAAATGTAACAAATTTTTATAATGGGTGATTCTCTCAATCCCACGAAAGGTGACAATATCCAGGAAATCACGAACTATGATATTGACAAAGCTAATTGCGATATAAGTAATATTCTAATTCATGCCCTCAGAGCATGTGTCAAATTAGTCCAAATTAAACTTGGACTGTAGTGGACTGAAGAAATGAAATGAAATGAAATGAAATGGGGTTTAACGTCCTACTGTTCTGCTCCTATACTGGGCTAATGAAGACGGGCATATGCCATACAGTGTGCTATGAGGGAAATTTTGCCCAGGCAGCGGCACTATCGCCTACTCTTATATCGAATTCCAACTGCCAAGGGATCTTTTACGTGCATTCCAATGTGTACACGGGACCTCGGTTTTTCGTCTCATCCGAATGACTAGACAGCTGTCCTTGTCAGGCCCTCCGTCCTGCATCACTGACAAGGGGAAATCACGCCGGAAAATCTGGATGAAGTTTCTCGGACAATGCAGGGATCGAACACCCAACTCGAATAATAACCCACACAATAACTAAGAGAAATTTATTACAGCAGGAAAAAACTGTATAAACGTGTTACTAAATATAAAAACCGGGAATCTCAAAAACATAATAAAAAAAACTAAATGAGCTCGAGAGAAATGACCTAAACAATTTCCCCAAGTTTTCCATTCAACTGCAAAAAAAAGTGAATGTTACAAATGGTTGGGTTTTTTTAACACATGACTACAATCTGATTAAAATACAGGGATCTGTTTCACGAAATTTTAACTAAGATCAAATCCAAATTTTAGTAATTTGATTGGATAATATTAGATTGATTTTAGTGCTTAGTCAATCAAAACTGAAGTATCTACTAAAATTGCGATTTTATCTTTAGTTAAGATTTCGAGAAACAGGGCCCAGATCTATATTTCGTTTCGTTTCGTTTCTTATACTTCCGATGATCATCTCTCTGTCCATTGCTTCAGGAATATGTTGCTGGATTGGCTTCTGATACATGAGCTTTTTGGGAGTGTGTCTATTCTTCCCATTCAATAAAATCTACCCAAGTACAGCAACATGACAACCCTTCCTTTAATCAGGGGTCTCTCTAAAACTTTGGACAGTGATTTAAGGTATTAAAAACGGTGAAAGTATTGTTTGCCTCCAAAAAGTATTGTTTAGATTGTATTCGTTTTGATAACCTCGTTTTTCCCGCAATTAGTTTTTCTGCAATATTCTGCTATGCACTGGTTAATTGGGAATAATAAAATCGTGAGTCATGACATAACGTTATGTAAACATATTTGGTCCAATTTGGATCTCTGTTTAAAGCGTAATGATATTGTTACGCAGTTAGCTATTGGTTGTTAATCAGACTATTGACCAGTCATAGTTTGGAACAGCAGTGTTAAGTGGGATTAGGACTGATTAGGTATATTCAAACAAAACACTGCAAGGAGAATGAATATCTATGTGAAAACCTTTACCAAGAAAACAACAGGATAAATGAATAATAGATATTTTTATTCCTGCTGATGTCATGATATTGATGTAGATCAAAATAAGGACAAAAACAATTTAAGAGTGTTTGTATACCTACAAATGTATGGATAATGTATGATGTGGATAATTAAGAGTGACAGGTTACTTACTGAAGCGACAAAAAAAACGTAAAAAAGAATTGCGTTACATCGATTCAGCATCTCTCAATTAAATACGTGAATAGTGAGAAGGTACAAATGTAAATCACTATACATAAATTCTGCGAAATATCTTGCGAGCACTACGGCTGTCTGGGCCAAATTTTCCGAACAGCACTCTATAGAATGTTAGCAATCTGCAGAAAACATCTAAAATATGCTAGATTAAACAAATGGTGGACAGATTCTAATATTCTAAGATCCTTTGCGTGATAAAGACGAGAGAACCCTCGTCAAAACATCAACCTAATATTGTGTTTATTATCATTGAAATCATGTGGTTTCACAGTCCTATTCTTTCACCTTTGTGTTATTTTTTTTAAAATGCCTCATGACACGATTGTTATAGGCCTACGGTACATATATTTAAAAGTTTCAACAAATAAATTAGTGATAAAGAGACAGAAAGATATGGATTGTATCTTTGTTAAGCAAAATTGTATATCAGAATTTTTCTGAAGCTAAACAAATCCCAGTTATTTTTATCAAGTCATCAAAGGAAGGTTGTTTTTTGTTGAGAGAGAGAGAGAGAGAGAGACGAGGTTGGAGTTTTTTGTTGATTGTTTTGTTAGTGTTTTAATAAATTAATGTCCACTTCCACAGAAGGAATGATGCTGACAAGTTTCATGTAATATTTATAAGATCAACGTCTGATTTCATCATTTATCCAATAACTTTATTTGAACAAAAAGCCAGCAAAAAATCCCGACAGCGGTTGGGAATAAAAAAAAAAAGGCCATACACTCAGTGCGAGTCACTCAAATGCGGACCACTTCGCATTTGACACAAAACTGATTCTTCTCAACTTACAGAGGATACGGTTTCAAATTTCCTTCTTTTTAAATATTGATGCACAGACGACATAATGTCTTCTCGCTGTTGTCTCTTCATTATTCCTGTGTTTTCTGTCCAATAATTAGATAAAACATCGCACATTCTTAACAAATCCTGAAAACTCAAAGAATAAAATTTTGTGATTAAAGGGAAATAACTCTGAAATTACCATTTCGTACCCGAATCGTGGAAGGAAAGTTGATTCGTGCCAGCCTGCGGCTTTACTCGCAACTTGCTCCTCATCATGATTTTACTGTTTTTCAGTTACGAAACACGATATAGAATTGGTTATCTAATTTGAAAAACTTTAAAATAGTCGTCTAAAAGTATCCTGTAGGGACAAATAATTAATTGTCATACATCGGTGCGAAAGCTCTTCCCAGCAGAGCTAATGAGTAACGTAATATCTTCTCAATGCAAGGCATGCAAAAAGTTCATTGAAGCGCTCAAGTTGAAAGTGTTGGCACGATCCGTTTTTTTTTTTGTTTTTTGTTTTTTTGTGGCAAAGAGAAGTTAGGAGTAAACAGTCACGTTTAACTTAACAGCATAAAACATAACTTGTACATAATTATTAAGAATAAATGACAATCAAATTAACTTGTTGACCACCAGTTGCAGACTTCACCTGCACCATGACCATGGCCATGGAACTGAGGGGTTGGATGGCCGAATGGTTCAGGTTAGCGCGTGTGCGTTGTATCATAAGGTCTGTCATTGAGTCAACTGGCGTGGTTTTGATTCCCCGGTTGTACGTGACATGGAGTAGGGTCACCTGTGCAACCTCGTGGGTTTTCTCCAGGTCTTTTGTTTTCCTCCCACTGCTAAAGACCCCTACTCTACGCGCAAACGAATTATTGAAACAAAATTGAACCATATGTTAGTCCCGAAATGACCTGGTTTGTGTCGAGTGGACGTTAAACCCTATTTTTCTCTCTTTCTGATTAAAATGAAAAGAGACCCCTTAGGCTATTCCACTTATGAAGCGGCAATACGGTACTATATACCGGAAAACAACTGGAAAACACCGGAAAACTACCGGAAAACTACCGGAAAACACCATGTTATACTGAATACCGGAAAACACCGGAAAAACACTAAATACCGGAAAACACACTAATTACCGGAAACCACCCTAAATAGGTAACCCGGAGAAGGGCTATACTATAAACCAGAAATTAACCCTAACCCTAACAGAGGACCAGGCTCCCGGTTACCTATTTAGGGTGCTAGTCTCCGGGTTACCGGTATTTAGTGTGTTTTCCGGTATTTAGTGTTTTTCCTGTGTTTTCCGGTATTAGGTATAAAATGGTGTTTTCCGGTTGTTTTCAGGTATATAGTATTGCCGCTTATGAAGCCAAACTAAAAACTAAAGGAAGCATGAGTCATTGTTTTTTAAGGCGAGCGATCGCTCTAGAGTGCCTCACCTGAATGTCGCCCAAGGGGATGTTTTTCTCCCTCCCTTTAAACTTGAAAATCGCTTTCCTTTACAAAGTCAAGGGTGTTTATTATCATTTATGAAACCAGGTTAAAGTTATCCTCCCTTTAAAATTGAAAATCAATCTCCTTTACAAAGTCATTGGGGGTTTATTATCATTTATGAAAATAGGAATGACACCCTAACATGCAGTTATTGATCTTCAGAATCATTTCCCATGCACACAACTAATCACTCTCCTTAATTTCTCTTATCGAGACTGGGAGAGCTTTTTTAACGGAGTAATTTTTTGATTAAACATACATTATGCAAAAGCTAAATCTGTCTATTGCAGGTCTTTTCTTTAGGCCTGAAATTTTATATAATTAATTAGACATTAATTAACTTATCCAGACCATAAACAACTCTCAATGTCATCGCTATAGCCAGCGATGTTTATTGGATAACGTTCCGATTTGCTGTTCGACTTCCATTCATAATTAAATCAAATAATGGATAATCGAGACTATGTTTTTTATCCTACGGACTTTAGTAATGATGATCAAGGTTAGCCCCAATATTCAATCGCTAAAATCTTGGTTCATAGTGGATCAATTTGACTGAAATTTCCATCAAATTGCTTTTACATTATCTAGTTTTTATACGCCCACATTTTCATGTGGACGTGTTAAGCCGTCGCCCCTGTCCGGACGTCCGTCCACAATTGTTTGTGGACACTCTAGAGGTCACAATTCTTATCCGATTTTGACGAAACTTGAAATATAGGTTTATCTCCAACAGATCTCGGCTGCTTTCGATATTGGCATGTATCGGATCGAAACTTCATGGATTATGCCCCCTGTTTGTACGAAAAAATCACGTTTTTAGCTTGTGGACCCTATAGAGGTCACAATTTTTATCCGATTTTGTTGAAACTTGAAATGTAAGTTTATAACCCAAAGATCTCGGTTCCTTTCAATATTTGCGCATATCGGACCATAACTTCCTGAATTATGGCCCCCGATTGTACGAAAAATCGCGTTTTTAGCTTGTGGACCCTATAGAAGTCATATTTTTTATCTGATTTAAAAACCCGTATTTTTATATCACCGTTACACCCTAAGGACGACTGAGTTCGAATTTCGTGAAAATCGGCCCAAAATTGACAGACAACATGGCCGCCGTTCGTTCTCAAATAGCGTAAAATATGGTATATCACGGTTGTGGACCCTATAACGGTCACAATTTTTATCTGATTTTGTTGAAACTCGAAATGTAAGTTTATAACCCAAAAGATCTTGGTTCCTTTAGATATTCGTGCATATCGGACCGTAACTTCCTGAATTATGGCCCCTGATTTTACGAAAAATCACGTTTTTAGCTTGTCGACCCTATAGAGGTCATAATTTTTATCCGTTTTAAAAAAACATATTATTATATCACCGTTACACCCTAAGGACGGCTAAGTTTGAATTTCGTGAAAATCTGCCCAAAATTGACAAACAAAATGGCCGCCGTTCATTCTCAGATAGCGTAAAAATATGGTATATCAAGGTTGTGGACCCTATAGAGGTCACAATTTTTATCCGATTTTGTTGAAACTTGAAATGTAAGGTTATAACCCAAAGATCTCGGTTCCTTTCGATATTCGCTCATATCGGACCGTAACTTCCTGGATTATGGCCCCTGATTGTACGAAAAATCACGTTTTTAGCTTGTGGACCCTATAGAGGTCATAATTTTTATCCAATTTAAAAAACTGTATTATTATATCACTGTTACACCCTAAGGACGATTGAATTCGAATTTCGTGAAAATCAACCCAAAATTGACAGACAAAATGGCCGCCGTTCGTTCTCAAATAGCGTAAAAATACGGTATATCAAGGTTGTGGACCCTATAGACGTCACAATTTTTATCCGATTTTGTTGAAACTTGAAATGTAAGTTTATAACACAAAGATCTCACTCAGTTCCTTTCGATATTCGCGCATATTGAATTGTAATTTCCTGAATTATAGCCCTTGATAGTAGGAAAAATCACTTTCTTGTTAGCTTGTTCTCTATCCATCTCTCGAAAATGTTTTTCGTATCCTGCCTGGCAGCCGCTGGTTAACTATTATAGTGAGAATTGCCAGCTCTTCATCTAATCTCCCATAATGTATCTTTAATAAACCACAAGGACCCTTTGAAGGTACTGTGTAATGTGGAAATGAAATGAAATGGAGTTTAACGTCCTACTGTTCTGCTCCTATGCTGGGCTAATGAAGACGGTCATACGCCATACAGTGTGCTATGAGGGAAATTTTGCCCAGGCAGCAGCACTATCGCCTACTCTTATATCGAATTCCAACTGCCAAGGGATCTTTTACGTGCATTCCAATGTATACACGGGACCTTGTTTTTTTTTATCTCATCCGAAGGACTAGACAGCTGTCCTTGTCAGGCCCTCCGTCCTGCATCACTGATAAGGGGGGACCACGCTGTAATGTGGACAGCTACAGAGGTTAAAGTTATCCTATCTGTCAGAACATTGTCGTGGTCTTGTGGATTATTGAAACTCTTGGGGGGTGTTGGATGGTCAAATGGTTAGCGTGTGTGCGTTGAATCATAAGGTCTGTTAGTGAGGCAACTGGCGTGGTTCCGATTCCCCGGTTGTACGTGACAAGGAGTAGGGTGGCCTATCCAACCTCGAGGGTTTTCTCCGGGTGCTTTGGTTTCCTCCAACTGCTAAAAACCCCTATGTGCAAGCGAATTACTGACATAAAATTGAACCATATGTTAGTCTCGAAATGACCTAGTTTGTGTCAAGTGGATGTTAAACTCTCTCTCTCTCTCTCTCTCTCTCTCTCGCTAGCTCGTGGGTTTTCTCTGGATCCTCCGGTTTCCTCCCACTGTTAAAGACCCCTTCAAGCAAGTGACTTTATTGAAATAAGATTGAACCATATGTTAGTCCCGAAATGACCTAATTTGTGGTGAGTGGACATTAAACCCCATTTCTCTCTCTCTCTCTCTAGTTTAAATCTGATCAAAACCAAGCTGGGAGATTAGTGTTGGTATTTTGATTTCCTTAATGATAAATAATCAGTTTGAGTACATATTTAACGTGGGTTAAGCCATGAGGAATTCAATATTTTAACGAAAATGCAAATTATGCATCATATGATCGAAGACACACTAATATATATATATATAAATGAAATGAAATGAAATGGGGTTTATCGTCCATCTGTTCTGCTCCTAAACTGGGCTAATGAAGACAAGCATACGCCATACAGTGACCTACTCATATCAAATTCCAACTTCCAAGGGATCTTTTACATGCATGCCAATGTGTACATGGGACCTCAGTTTTTCGTCCCATCTGAACGACTAGACAGCTGTCCTTGTCAGGCCCTCAGCCAATGCAGGGATCGAACACCCTGCCCCCAGGCTAGCGAGCCAGTCACCTACCCACTTAGCCACCATGGCCTCCATGTATTTTATAAGAAAACACACTAATATATTTAATCTTGTTGATGATTTTTTATTTTATTTTTATTGTTTGGTTTTTTTTTTTAGTTACAAAAGAAGTTGAAGATGGAAGACAAAGAAAATCAACCTGATGCACTACCAGATATAAATCAACATAGCTTAACAGACGCAGTTTACAATATGGCCGAGTCTTCCAAGCAGAAAAATAATACAACAAAAGAACTTAAAATTAGTACAAGGCTAAAAACTTTTAAATGTGAGATTTGTAGCGAATCAATAAGTGGACGAAAACTGCTCGAAATCCACATGCGGACACATACTAAAGAGAGAATATTTAAATGTGATGTATGTAGTAAATCATTTAGTGGGCCTAAAAGGCTTGAAATCCATATGCGGACACATACGGGAGAGGGGTCGTTAAAATGTGAGGTGTGTAGTAAACCAATTAGTGGGCCTAAAAGACTTGAGGTCCATATGCGGACACATACGGGCGAGAGACCATTCAAATGTGAGGTTTGTAGTAAATCATTTACTACTAAATACAATTTACAAATACACCTTCGAATACACACTGGAGAGATGCCATATTCGTGTAGTCACTGCAGTAAATCATTTCAAAGTCTAGACGCCCTAAAAGCACACATGTATACGCACAACTTTGAGAAAAATCACAAGTGTGATGTCTGTGGCAGTTCATTCATAACGCTGAGCAGGCTGAACAACCACAAGAAAACACATCTCAACGACGAAACCCATCAGTGTGAAGTTTGTGACAAAACCTTTAGAAATAAATACATTTTGAGGGCACACATGTTGATTCATACGGGAGGCGCAGAAACATATACATGCAAGATCTGTGATAAAACCTTTACTTCAAAGAGTTACTTTCTCACTAAGCATGTCATGATTCATACGGGGGAGAGACCGCATAAATGTGATGTTTGTGGTAAATCATTTAATTCCATAAGCACACTTAACATGCATGAGAAAACGCATTCCGGACAAAAGTCATATGAATGTGATATCTGTCATAAAACTTTTATAAGAAGTTCTTGTTTGGTAACTCACAAAAGAATTCACACGGGAGAGAAGCCGTACGATTGCAAATTTTGTGATCGATCGTTTAGAAGCAATAGCGATCTTCGCGGTCATGTTGTGAAACATACAGGCGAAAAACCACATGCTTGCGACATTTGTCATAAATCATTCACTCGACGGCAAGATGTTAGACGTCACATGAGAAGCCATACTGGTGAAAAACCTTTTAATTGTGAAATCTGTGATGTATCGTTCCGCGACAAAGCTGCCGTTAAAGTTCATGTGCGAAAGACACATGTGAAAGAAAAATGCTTTAAATGTGAAGTTTGTACGAAATCGTTCCTCTCGGAAAACACCCTTCATTCCCACATGAGAGTTCATACCGGAGAGACGCGCTATAAATGCAAAATCTGCTCGAAATATTTCAGCTCGCAGAATTATCTCGAAACTCATAGGATGATCCATACTGGCGAGAAACCACATCGATGTGATGTTTGTAATAAATCATTCACCCAGCTTGGTGGATTACTTAGACATCAGAAAATTCATTCAGGAGAGAAGAACATCAAGTGTGAAGAATGCGACAAAATGTTTAATCGACTTGATAGTTTGAAATCGCACATGAGAATCCATTCAGAAGTAAAACCATATAAATGTGATTTATGTAGTGAATCGTTTAAATATCCTTCGTCGTTACTCACCCATGTCAATCATCATAAGGGCGTGACAGATTACCAATGTAAAATATGTGAAAGATATTTATGTGACAAACGATCATTAAAAAGACATTTATTAACCCACGGAGATGAGTATCTTGAAAAAAGAGAAACGGATGTTTAAGATATAGTGGCAGATTTTACAAAGATTGTGAAGCATTAATGCTATTTGACTAGGGGGATCACGGTGGCTATGTGGGTAAGACGCTAGTCTGGAGGTTGGGTGTTCGATCCCTGCTTTGGTAGAGAAAGTTCATCCAGATTTTCCGGCGTGGTTTCCCCTTGTCAATTATGCAGGACAGTAGTACGTTAAACCCCATTTCATTTCATGCTATTTCGCTTGTACATTCTGGACATTTACAGTATTTTTTAAACGTAGGACCAGGAATATGCCCAATCGCACATCAAGATATGGTGAATAATATTCAAAATTCCAAAATTAATTGACTGTACTGAGTGTATAGCTACTACTATGTGATCAATGTATTTATTATGTTGCATGTCTATACACCTACTTTGATTAACTAATTAATATGTCTTGGTTTATCGGCTGCGTTAATCCTATGTCAGTCAATTCATCAATCCAATCCTTAATAGAAGTCATTGCTTCATCTTTGCTGGAATTTTGTTGAAACATGATTTTTAATTGTGGTCTGCTTGAATAACGATGAGAGTTATGCCCCTTTATTTTCGGTAAAAATGTCTGACAAGAAAATTTTGAAATAGCAAAACTGTTGTGTTGTAAAAATAGAAGAGAATAAAAACGAAAATGAAAGGGGAGTTTATTATCAAACAGAAGAGTATGTTGTAGCACAGTGGAAGAATTTACAAAGATCTTCAGTATACAGCATGGTTTCTACTTGTCAGTGGTGCAGGGTGGAGGGCCTGGTTGTTTGGATGGGACGAAAAATCGAGGTCCCGCGTACACTCTGGTCTAGATTATAAAGATTTATTTAAATTATATTTTTTTTAATTTATGATTATATTTTTCTTTTGTTTCTTATTTTATTGTTAGAAGTCACTTGTCATCACACGTGTATGTTTGTTATTTCAAAATTCTTGTAAAGGCTCTTCAGGTCAGAGTTATTTAGGTTTTTGTTCAAATTTTTTTCGGATTTGTCGGCTATTCAAAATAAAAATTTATTGCTTTTCCATCAAAAATTAAATTCTTTATAACAGGCTAGAATTACTGAGACTGTTTCGGTAGTCGTGAGGAGGCATCCTGTACAATTTGCAGGTCTTTCTTTAGGCCTGGAATATTATCTAAATTATTAATTAGACATTAATTAACTGATCCAGGCCATAATCAACTCTTGATGCCATTGCTAGCCTGCGATATTTAGTGGATTTGAATACAGTTTTTGATGGATGATTTAACGTCAACATAGATAATCGAGACTTTGTTTTTGATCATACCGACTTTAATAATGATGATCGAGGCTAGGCCTAAAATTTATGCGCTATTATCTGGGTTCAGAATGGAGCATTTTCACTCAAATTTCAGCATATTCTATTTACGTTATCTATTTTTTTAACTATTATGGTGAGAACTGTCAACTCGTTATCTTATCTTCCGTAATGTATCGTTTAGTTATATGGTATAATTTTACTGATAATGTTTTATTTGTTTGCATTATTTGGTGGCTGAATAAAGTTATTTATAAAATGTTTGTTAATTGCGTGATCTTTAAAACAATTTGGGAGCCACAAGGGTTCAGTGACTGAGGGGCTGGCTCATTTACCAGAACGTCCTGTGTGTTACATCATGGTGTTGGCTGTTAAGTGTGTCATCTTTGAAATAATTTGGGAGCCACAAGGGTTCAGTGACTGAGACACTGGCTCTTTTACCAGAACATCCTGTGTGTTCCATCATGGTATTAGCTGTTAATTGTGTCATCTTTAAAACAATTTGGGAGTCACGAGGGTTCCGTGACTGAGACGCTGGCTCATTTACCAGAAGGTTCTGTGTGTTCCATCCTGATGTTGGCTGTTAATTGCCTGATCTTTAACACAATTTGAGAGTCAGTGATTGTGATGCTGGCTCATTAACCAGAACTTCCTGTGTGTTCCATCCTGATGTTGGCTGAATAAAGTTCCTCGTGTCAATGTTGAAGGATGAAGGGCCTGGCGAGAAGCTGTGTCTACTCAATCAGATGGGACAAAAAAAAAGAGAAGTCTGGTGTCATGGCTAATCATGGCTAAGTGGGTAAGACGTTGGCTCGCTATCCTGGAGGTCTGGGCAAAATTTGCCTCATAGCACACTGTATGGTGTATGCCTGTCTTCATTAGCCCAGTTCGGAGCAGGAAAATAGGTCGTTAAACCACATTTTATAAATGTATCAACTGGTAATTGGGATATTCTTGAAGTTGTTAAGGCTGTACCACTTTAAATTTTTTTCAAGGAACTGGCCGGGGTAATCAATATTTTCAGGGATGAAAAACTGAGGGCCTGTGTACATGTAAAAGATCCCTTGGCAGTTGGAATTTGATATAAAAGTAGGCTGTATGTGCCAAATTCCCCTCAAATCACACTGCTTGGCGAATGCCCTTCTTCATTAACCCAATTGGAGCAGAACAGTAGGACGTTAAACCCCATTTCATTTCTCTGGATATTTTAATGACAATTTAGATCTTCAGTGCCTGAAGGACCTATAGGCTTGGCAGACTCAAGATCTAGTGGGGGGACTCCGGCCAAGTTGTATAATGTTTTTAACTCTGTCATAAATCTTTCTGACACACACTTTACTCCATTAAACATCTGTCATCATCCTTGTCTTTACTCTATTGTGACTTTAAACATACTTTCATCTTTAAACATACATTATGCAAGAGCTAAATCTGTCTATTGCAGGTCTTTCTTTAGGCTTTAATTGGGTGGTTTCGATTCCCCGGTTGTACGTGACAAGGAGTAGGGTCGCCTGTCCAACCTCATGGGTTTTCTCCGGGTCCTCAGGTTTCCTCCCAATGCTAAAGACCCTTATGCGCAAGCGAATTATTGAAATAAAATTAAACCATATGTTAGTCCCGAAATGACCTTGTTTGTGTCATGTGGACGTTAAACCCCATTTCTCTCTCTGTCTTTAGGCTTGAAATGTTGTCTAAATTATTATACATTAATTAACTTTTTAATTAATTAATTAAATTTTTCTGCTAACTGCTTCCAAGATTCTTCATATAGATCCAGACCTATATGAAGAATCCTGGAAGCAGTTAGCAGAAAAATTTAATTTGATCACTGATTTTTTAATATAATTCCAGTACAGGGATTAAATTTCTACATCTTTTAATTTTCAACATTTTTTAATCCCAGTATAGGGATTATTTTTTCAATCTTTTAAATAATAATCCTAACCTAAGGATTATTTAATCCCAATTTATTTTAAGGTGCATGCACCAAAATTTGTATATATACCACTAATCTGGGATTATTTTTTAATATTGTTCAAATTGCCAACTGATGAAGGGCTATTAGCCTGAAACGCGTTTTGGTGAAGATTATACTGATTTAAATTCACACAGTGTTGATCTAGTTTGTTCCTGGGGGATTATCTTTACTAATCTATATCTATAACAAGTTGTGAGATTGGGAGGTGCCTCATAAGTGAAATAGCCTAGGGCCTCGCTTCATCTAAATATGGCACTGTTGAACTCTACTGGTTTTCTGTCATCAAAAACAGTCTTTAAAAAGTCAGACATTTTGGAGTGTCCTAACACATGTTTCTGATATTAATATGAACATTTTATTTCAGCTAAACAGAAGATGGACAACCTACAAAAAAACTCCTGAAAATCAACTTTTAAGCCAAGAATATTAAAACTCTACAATTATCCTGAAAATTGATCTTTTAGATAAGAAAATGGACAAATTACATTCATTCTAAAAATCGAACTTGTAGCGTAGAAGGTGGAAAATTTACAGTAAACCTGAAAATCAACTTTTTAGCTTAGAAGGTGAACAAATTTACAGTAAACCTGAAAATTTACTTTTTAGCTTAGAAGGTGGACAAATTGACAGTAATTCTGAAAATCAACTTTGTAGCGTAGAAGGTGGAAAATTTACAGTGGTCCTGAAAATCGACTTTTTAGCTTAGAAGGTGGACAAATTGACAGTAAACCTGAAAATCGACTTTTTAACTTAAAAGGTGGACAAATTTACAGTGATGCTGAAAATCGACTTTGTAGCGTAGAAAGTGGTAAAATTTATAGTCGACCTGAAAATCAACTTTTTAGCTTAGAAGGTGGAAAAATTTACAGTAATCCTGAAAATCAACTTTTTAGCTTAGAAGGTGGAAAAATTTACAGTAATCCTGAAAATCGAAGTAAACAGTAAAAATTTGCTTATTTTAGCAAAGAAAATGAAAACGACCAGAAAAACAACAAAATTCTAAAGAGCAGAAATATACAGTTAGTGACCACAAATGGCTGATGAATTAGAATTTGAAATACCCAAGCTTGAAAAGAAGAAGTCGTTTATTGATAAAGGTAATGAATTTATCAAATTATCTCAGAAAAAAATTAAAGAAGTTAAAACTTTCCCATGTGATATTTGTAATAAGTTGTTTAGAGATTCTGAAATTCTGGAAAACCATATGCAAGTTCATGCCAGAGGAAAAAATTTTAAATGTGATGTTTGTAGTAAAACATTTAATAGCCCTAAATGTTTAGAAACCCATGTGCGCGTTCATACCAGAAAAAACCCTTTTAAATGTGATGTTTGTAATAAAACATTTATTAGTAAAAATCACTTAAAGATACATGTTAGAATTCATACAGGAGAGATGCCATATTCATGTCATTTTTGCAGTAAACATTTCCAATACTCTACAACTCTAAAAGCACACATTTACACACACACGTTTGAGAAAAATTACAAATGTGATTTTTGCGGCAAGTCTTTTATCACGAAAAATAAGCTTAGCGCACACAAGCAAACGCACACTGAAGATAAATCACACAAATGTGATGTGTGTGGAAAATCATTTAATAGCCAAGCAAATTTGAAATCTCATATTTCAATGCATACCGGTGGTAAAGAAGCCTTTACATGTAAAATCTGTAACAAAGTTTTCGTTTCGAAGCATTATTTTTTAAATGAACATGCCTTTGTCCATACAGCAGAAAGACCCCAGAAATGTAATGTTTGTAGTAAATCATTTAGTTCCATTACTACTCTTAATAATCATATGAAATGCCACAATCGAGAAAGATCGTACGAATGTGACGTCTGTCATAAGACCTTCATCCGAAGCGGGTGTCTGACGAAACATAAAAGAGTGCATACCGGTGAGCGACCATATAAATGTGAACATTGTAATTATTCCTTCAAAGCCAGTTCGGAGTTACGTATGCATATTATGTCGCATACTGGCGTAAAACCTTATAAATGTGACGTCTGTCATAAACCATTCGCTAGACGTAAAGATATTAAACGTCACATGACAACGCACACAGGGGAAACACCTTTTAAATGTGAAATTTGTAATCGTGCCTTCGCTGCGAAACCAGCAATGAAGCTTCACATAAATCGAAGACATGGAACCCCACAAAAAGATTTCAAATGTGAAATTTGTAATGAAGCCTTTCTTTCTGAAATCACCCTTCATTCCCACATGAGAATTCATACCGGAGAGACGCGCTATAAATGCGAAATATGCACGAAATATTTCAGCTCCAACAGTTATCTCAAAGAGCATAGGATGATTCATTCTGGCAAGAAACCACATGAATGTGATGTTTGTAATAAATCATTCACCCAGCTTGGTGGATTACTTAGACATCAGAAAATTCATTCAGGAGAGAAGAACATCAAGTGTGAAGAATGCGACAAAATGTTTAATCGACTTGATAGTTTGAAATCGCACATGAGAATCCATTCAGAAGTAAAACCATATAAATGTGATTTATGTAGTGAATCGTTTAAATATCCTTCGTCACTACTCACCCATGTCAATCATCATAAGGGCGTGACAGATTACCAATGTGAAATATGTGAAAGATATTTATGTGACAAACGATCATTAAAAAGACATTTATTAACCCACGGAGATGAGTATCTTGTAAAAAGAGAAACGGATGTTTAAAGATAAAGTGGCAGATTTTACAAAGATTGTGACACGGAGATGTTAAAGATGGGTTCCCAGAAAAGTATTTATCGGGTGGTTATTTCCAATGAAAGTATGGCAATTTTGGTATATATGGAAAGTAGAGATATCCAATCTTACTAGAAAAATACTGGATTCCCCGAAAAACATTCAGGGAGCGTATACAGGACAAAAATGTAAGGGTTCCCCTAATCAACAGCCCGACGATTAGGGACTTCTGCACGCGTGATGTCCAATACTTTCTGAGATAAAAATGACAGAAAAAGACGCGGGTTGTGGATAATCCGAGAATTTAATTAGGATTCGATATTTGTAATAAATAGTAAGCGATTCAAGACAACATCGTCTTATGTATGCAATGAATTCTCCTCGGACTCCCAAGACGTGACGTAAACATGACCTGGTTTGATCGAATTTTAATAGCAGGGCATTCCTTCGCAATTACAATGTTTGAGAAGGATTTGAAGCATAATTATGACGAATTAATAAGTTTAAATATATTTTTGGTCCATATAAACCATTAAATCACCCAGTTTGTACACGGGAACCCATCTTTAAAGTTCATGAATGCGATGTTTGTGGTTTAATGTTTGAAGTCAGATTTGATTATGAAGAACATGTCAAGCTTTAACTTTTCTTGATAAAATGTATAGAGCTGTTTACTTGATAAAATACATAGAGCTGTTTCCTTGATAAAATGCATAGAGCTGTTTCCTTGATAAAATGCATAAAGCTGTTTACTTGATCAAAAACAAAAGGCTGATAAAATGCATTAAGCTTTTTTCTGATAAAATACTGAAATATGACCAAATTTGTCAACAGTATATTGTAACCATTTGTTAATATGTTATTATTATTTATATATTTTCTTTTTTGGTTTTTTTTTTTTGTAAATATGTTGTTATTATTATATTTATTTTTTTTTGTTAATACGTTATTATTATTTATATTTTTGGTTTTGTTTTTGTTAACATGTTATTATTATTCATGTTTTTTTTGTTGTTAATATGTTAAAATTATTAAATTTTGCATTTTGTTACCCAAAACATGAAAAAATGATGTTTTGAAATAACTTGATTTACCTTAACTGGAAAGCCTTTTGAATACTCACATACAATTAAAACAATGATGATATATTGTTTTTATACTTTTTTAGGAAATATGTTGTATAAAATTATGGGGTTGTGTGGCCAAATAGTCTGACACAGGTGCTTTAGATCATAAGGTCTGCCATTGAGTATGGGGGTTGGATGGCTGAATGGTTAGCATGTGCGCGCTGTATCATAAAGCCTGTCATTGAGTCAACTGGCGTGGTTTTGATTCCCCGGTTGTACGTGACAAGGATTAGGGTTGCCTGTACAACCTCGTGGGTTTTCTCCGGGTCCTCCGGTTTCCTCCCACTGCTAAAGACCCTTACGCGCAAGCGAATTATGGAAACAAAATTGAACCATATGTTAGTCCTGAAATGACCTGGTTTGTGTCGAGTGGACGCTAAACTCCATTTTTTTCTCTCTGATTAAAATGAAAAGAGGCCCCTCAGGCTATTCCTCCCACTGCTAAAGACCCCTACGCGCAACCCCATTTCTCTCTCTCTCTGTCATTGATTCAAGTGGTATGGTTTCTATTCCCTGGTTGTACCTGACTGGGAGTCGAGTTGTCTAGTTTCCTACCAATGCGCAAACAAATTATTGAAATTAAATTGAATCATATTTTAGTCCTGAAATGACCTAACTTGTGTTGAGTGGATCTTAAACACCATGGTTTAACTGTGCTTTTGAAACAAGAGTTTTTTAGATTTATTTTCTTGTCAATTCCTCAGTCACTAAAATCTTGTACCCATTCCAAATCTTAGAGATTTTGACATATCACAATCTGATTAAAACACAGATCCTATTTCGTTACGTTTTTATAGTTCAAAATTTTGTTTTACTTGTCTTTACTGCACTAGGATTTGGAAGAGTTGTTATCAATGACGTGTTCTGAATGGTGTGAGGGATTACCCAATGAAACAGTCTGTTACGGTGGACTTTAGGCATGCTTTGCATGGAACTGTGGGTAATCCACTAGTAACATCAATGCAAATTGGTTAATAAAATGTCTGACATCATAGGGTCAAAAGCCGCTTGTGTGACCTCTGAAGCGACCTATCACTACAATCGGTCAGATCTTCATGTAGTGTAGGCCATCGAAAGTATAAAAAAAGGAAACGAAATATAGATCTGTATTATAATCAGATTAGGCCAACATATCAATGATTGTACCTAAATTTTGTTACTGTAAATATTTGTTAAATTTATGTTTAAGAAGTGCAAGTCTGGGGAACTCCAGAAAACTTTTCAGAAATTTATCTTTCAAATCCTAACTAAATTTGAAAATTTTTGGTTGGGTTTTTTTGTTGCCTGATTTTGGATGTGGATGTTTGAAAAACAATTTGACTTATCATGGAGAGCCTGTACAACCTGCACAGAGCTTGAAATAACCTAGTAGCACAATTTACCCAAATGCAACCAAATCTACCCAAATCCACCTTTATTTCAACTAATTTATATCTATATTTGATAATCTACCTTTCGTATTGTAAATTGACATTTTTAATTTAAAATTGTAGCATTTTTTGTTTAAAAAATGTTCCTCAAAATGAGATTTCCAATCAAGTGATTTAGGGTAAAACAAGAGTTATGTCCCTTGGATACAACTTCCAAATATGCTAGAATTTTCCATTAAAAATGATAATGTGTCCTGCACCACTCAGTTGAAATAATGGTGGAATTGTGTATATCATGCTACCCAACTGGCACTGTTTTAATTAAGTTGTTATAATTGTTGTTCTAAATTCTAGTACTAAAGATATTAGTGCTGTGTTGTATATACTTGTTATGTTTTTAAAAAGTTCTTGTTAAAATTTATGACAATATTTATGAAAATATTTAATTAAATATTTAATATTATATTTTGAATTAAATTGGAAAAAACACATTCCTCTTGTTGATTTGAATGGCCTCTGTCATAAAATCATAGGAAAAAATAGCTTTAGGATGGCAAGTTTTCAAATGAGTTCTCTTAGTTTAAAAAAATCTTATGTATAAAACATATTTCATTTCGTTGTTAAATTCTCACTTTTATAATACCGAAGCAACCCTAACCCTTAGCTTGTTTAAAATGTCACAGGACCCTTGCATCAACAGTGAAAAAGGGGCATATGCCATCACACACACTCACACAAGTTATTTTTGTTAGAACTAATTTGGGGACCCTATAATATTAGGGCACCTTTCTACATAATGTATATTTTGTTGTGACAGAGGCCAGTGGACGACCTTTAATATTAGGGCCCCTAGCTGCATAATGTATATTTTTTGTGGCAGAGGCTAGTGGGGGACTTGTAATATCAGGACGCCTGGCTGCATAATGTATATTTTTTGTGACAGAGGCCAGTGGGGGCCCTTTAATATCAAGGCCCCTGGCTACATAATGTATATTTTTTGTGACAGAGGCCAGTTTTTGTATTGTTTATCTGTTGGTTTAATAAAGTTGTTTATAAAATGTTTGTAACTTGTGGTTTCCCCTTGTCAGTGATGCAGGACGGAGGGCTTGACAAGGACAGCTGTCTATTCCTTTGGATGAGACGAAAAACCGAAGTCCTGTGTATATATTGGAATGCACGTAAAAGATCCCTTGGCAGTTGGAATTCGATATAAGAGTAGGCGATAGTGCCGCTGCCCGGGCAAAATTTCCCTCATAGCACACTGTATGGCGTATGCCCGTCTTCATTAGCCCAGTTTAGGAGCAGAACAGTAGGACGTTAAACTTCATTTCATTTCATTTTGTAACTTGTATCTTCTTTAGGGGGGTCGGGTGGCCGAATGGTTTAATGTGTGCACTTTAGATTATAAGGTCTGTCATTTAGTCGTCGCCTGTCCAACCTCGTGGGTTTTCTCCAGGTCCTCCGGTTTCCTCCCACTGCTAAAGACCCCTACGCGCAAGCGAATTATTGAAATAAAATTAAACCATATGTTAGTCCCGAAATGCCCTAGTTTGTGTCGAGTGGACGTTAAACCCCATTTCTCTCTCTCTGTCATTGAGTCAAGTGGTTTCGATTCTCTGCTTGTGAGTGAGAATAAATAGGGTGTCTGTCCAGCCTCAGGGGTCCTCCGGTTTCATCTCACTGCTGAAGACCTCTACGCGCAAGCATATTGAAATAAAATTTAACCATATATTAGTCCCCAAAAACACCTACTTTGTGTGGAGTGGATGTTAAACCCCATTTCTCTCTCTCTATTATGGCACCCAGACACTAGCACCTTGAGCATGCATACTAGCGCAGTATACTATTATTATTGGCCGTGAAGGTTTCTCAGGATTTCCCAGCAAAGAACAGTGTCTAGCCATTTGGATGGGATGAAATTCTGTGGCCCTGTGTGCATGTGAAAGAACCCTTGACAAAAAGTTGGTGAGTTGACCACTGTCTTGGCAAAATTTTCCTCATAGCACACTGCGTGGCATGTGTATGTATGCTCTCCCCCCCCCCCTTCTTTCTCTCTCTTTACCCCAATAAATATGAACACCACACATTTTAATATGTTTTACTCTCAATAATTATTATACATGTAAAAACATAGAAATGCATAGCTCATTTCAATACTGTTCAAATCCAACTACATGAAGGTTCCGTCATCAATATGAGATGAGATGAGAAGAGAAGAGAGAGAGAGAGAGAGAGAGGGGGTTTAACGTCCACTCGACACAGGCTAGGTCATTTCAGGACTAACATATGGTTTAATTTTATTTCAATAATTCGCTTGCGCGTAGGGATCTTTAGCAGTGGGAGGAAACCGGAGGACATGCAGAAAACCCACAAGGTTGGACAGGCAACCCTACTCCTTGTCACGTACAACTGGGGATTCAAAACCACGCCAGTTGACTCAATGACAGGCCTCGTGATACAGCGTGCGCGTGCTAACCATTCGGCCATCCAACCCCCCATATGCTCAGGAAATGAATCAAAACCTGAACAGACATACATAGTCGATTTCAATATCACTCCCCTAACTTTGTTCAATTGTGGGATGATTTACATGTATTTATTTAAACATACATTATGCAAGAGCTAAATCTGTCTATTGCAGGTCTTTCTTTAGGCCTGAAATGTTATCTAAATTATTAATTAGACATTAATTAACTTATCCAGACAATAATCAACTCTAGATGGCATCGCTAGCCTGCGATCTTAAGTGGATTGTGATTCAATTTACTGCATAACTTTCCTTCTCGATTAAAGGATAGAATGGATAATCGAGACTATGCTGTTTAACTTACTGACTTTAGTAATGATAACCGAGGCTAGGCAGAAATTTTATCCGCTTAGTGCTCGGTTCATAGTGGATCAATTTGAATGAAATTTTCAGCAAATTGCCTTTACGTTATTTGGTTTTTAACTATTATAGTGAGAACTGCCAACTTGTTATCGAATCTCCCATAATGTATCTTTAATATACTGGAACAACAACAAACAAAACTTCATAAATAATCATATATTTTTAGACCCCACCAACTTCAGGGTATTCATGAATACATATAGAGAATCTCCTACCAGTCTTTTTTGATATCAAAAAATATCAGCACAAGTTGATAAAGTAACAAAAAACGAGTAGGAGATGTTATTTATCACCCAATCCCTTCTTACATGCACAAATAGATAAATATAATTCTTTGCTGTAGATTTCACTTTTACTAAACATTACGGCGTAGTGATACATCATTTTTTGACAGCAATCCAACCATTGCAAAGTCCTTTATATTGACCCAGTGTTTCCATCAAGGTCAATTGAATAACAATAGTTCATTTTTAATTTAAAAAAAGTTACTTTTAATAAGAAATTGACTGTTCTTTGAAAAAAAAGTGGACAAGGGCTATTTCACACAATCTGCCTAAAATAGTATTTTTGCATATTTTAACACCAGAACACTAAAATTGACAGGGGGTTGGATGGCTGAATGGTTAGCGCATGCGCGTTGTATCATAAGATATGACATTGAGTCAACTGACATGGTTTTGATTCCCCAATTGTACGTGCCAAGGTGTAGGTTCTCCGGGTCCTTCGGTTGCCTTCCACTGCAAAAGACCCTTACGTGTAAGCGAATTATTGAAATAAAATTGAATCATGTGTTAGTCCTGAAATGACCTCGTTTGTGTTGAGTGGACACTAAACCCCATTTCTCTCTCTCTCTCTCTCTAACTAAAATTTACATAAACTGTGATAAAAAAGAACAAGATGTTGAGAAATCTGCTAAAATTGGATTTATTTGAAAAAATCAAATGATCTAATTTAAAAACAATGGTACTCGTCCACCTTGTTGCATCAGCATCCTCAATTTCAAAACTTAAAGAGGGGGTGGATGGCCGAATGGTTAGTATGTGCGCGCTGTATCATAAGGTCTGTCATTGACTCGACTGGCATGGTTTTGATTCCCTGGTTGTACATGTTACGTGACAAGGAGTAGGGTCCAACCTCGTGGGTTTTCTTTGGTCCTCCCACTTCTAAAGACCCCTACGCGCAAATGAATTACTGATATAAAATTGAACCATATCTTAGTCCTGAAATGACCTGGTTTGTGTCGAGTGGATGTTAAAACCCATCTCTCTCTCTCTCTCTCTCAAAATATAAAAATTTGGAACTAAAAGCTTTTTAACAGCACAAACAAGTATTTTTCATTTTTAAATTGCCATACTTTTTTGCAAGAAATGGGAAGTACATGTAAATTTTTTAATAGAAATGGATGTGGTCTGAGTATTAAACAAACATTATGCAAGAGCTAAATCTGCCAATTGCAAGTCTTTAGGTCTGAAATGTTTTCTAAATTATTAATTAGACATTAATTAACTTATTTAGACCATAATCAACTCTCAATGCCATCACTAGCCTGCAATATTTACTGGATTAGAACTCGGTCTGCTGTTTCTGATTAAATCAAAAAATGGATAATCGAGACTATGTATTGTATCATACCAACTTTAGTAATGATGATCGAGGCTAGGCACAAAATTCAATCGCTAAATACTTGGTTCGGGGTGGATCAATTTGACTGAAATTTTCAGCAAATTCCCTTTACATTATCTAGTTTTTAACTATTATAGTAAAAACTGCCAGCTCTTTATCTAATCTCCCATAATGGGTACCTGGTCAGCCAATCAGTAACAAACAGGTGCCTGTGGCAGTGGTTATCCTAGCTGTTTTTTTGCCGTTTGGTCCAAAGGGTTCATAATATTACATCAAAAAATGTTGGTTATTTTTACCCTGGGAGGCTAGTATATAGGCCCAATATCATTCAGGGTGTCGGCGTTCAAAGGGTTAAAGATTCATTATGTAAGAGCTAAATCTGATTATTATTTGCAGGTCTTCTTTATGAAATGAAATGAAATGAGGTTTAACGTCCTATTGTTCTACTCTGAACTGGGCTATAAATGAAGACGGGAATACGCCATACAGTGTGCTATGAAGGAAATATTGCCGGGACAGCGGCGCTATGACCTACTCTTATATCGAATATCAACTAGAGAGAGAAATGGGGTTTAACGTCCACTCGACACAAACTAGGTCATTTCGGGACTAACACATGGTTTAATTTTATTTCAATAATTCGCTTGCGCGTAGGGGTCTTTAGCAGTGGGAGGAAACCGGAGAACCCGGAGAAAACCCACGCGGTTGGACAGGCGACCCTACTCCTTGTCATTTCGGGACTAACACATGGTTTAATTTTATTTCAATAATTTGCTTGCGCGTAGGGGTCTTTAGCAGTAGGAGGAAACCAGAGGACCCGGAGAAAACCCACGAGGTTGGACAGGCGACCCTACTCCTTGTCACGTACAACCGGGGAATCAAACGAATATCAACTGCCAAGGGATCTTTTACGTGCACACCAATGTTCTGCTCTGACTGCGCTAATGAAGACGGATCTTGTTTATGCCTTCACATGTTATATTAATCATCATTAAATCATTAACTAACATGACAAGCCCACGATCAACTCTCTGGGCCATTGGATGGCCGTGATTTCAAATGAATTAAAACACATTCAGAAATAAATAATTTAATGTAAAAATGGATAATCAAGACTTTGTTTATTATTGTAGCAATGCTACTTGACAATCAAGACAATTAACAAAACTTCAAACACTCATAACTTCACACAGGATAAGGTATTTTTGAACTATTATAGCAAGAACGACCAGCACTTTATATAAATCTTTCACACATGTAATGCATCAATCTGATTAAAGTACAGGGGCCTGTTTCACGAAAACTTAAACTAAGATACAATCGAAATTTTAAGAAATACTGCAATTCGATTGGCTGACCAATATGCAAATTGGATATATGCAAATTGATTTTACTGATCAGCCAATCGAATTGCAGTATTTCTTAAAATTTCGATTGTATCTTAGTTTAAGTTTTCGTGAATAAGGGCCCAGATCTATATTTTGTTTCGTTATTTCTATACTTTTGATGGCCTCCACTACATGAAGATCTGACTGGTTGTAGTGGAAGTTGGCGTCGGGGAGGGGGGGGGGGGGGTCATATGAGCAGCTTTTGACCCTATGACATCAAACATTTGATTAACCAATCAGCATTGACGTTTCTAGTAGGATACTCACAGTTCCATGCACAGCTTTTGACCCTATGACATCAAACATTTGATTAACCAATCAGCATTGATGTTTCTAGTAGGATACTCACAGTTCCGTGCACAGCACGCTAAGAACTTGTCGCAGCAGACTGTTTCATTGGCTAATCCCTCTCATCTTCCATAACAACTCTTCCAGATCATAGTGTAGTAAGAACTTGTCGCAGCAGACTGTTTCATTGGCTAATCCATAACAACTCTTCCAGATCCTAGTGTAGTAAAAACGAAATTTTGAACTATAAAAAACGAAACGAAATAGCATCTGTGTTTTAATCAGATTACTAAATGCATCTTTAACTGAGTGAAATGGGGCCTCTATCTCCCACTGATCTAAAAATATTGAAATATAAGAATATGTTTAAGAGTGGTTGGTATGGGCAGCTCGTTGACGGAACTCAATAATCGATGCTTTAAAACGGATCGGATACAACGATTACTAATATCACGCAGAGAAGGTGGTTGTTTTAATCGGTTCAACAAATAATTCACAATCAGGCTGTCTTTTATCGCCATTGGATACTCGCCACGTTTGATCCAAGTCTCTTGATTTAGGTCACAATTTCCAGACAGACACATCAGTCGCATTAATCTCTCTTCCCCGCGAACTGCTGCCAGGTAAAATGGTGTCTGAAAACTGTTGTTCTGCGTCTGAATATTTACATTGAGTAGCAGAAGATATTTAGCGATTTCGAACTTGTTGTAAAAAATCGACAAGTGAAATGCTGTGTATCCATTCTTGTTTCTCAGATCCGGTTCGGATCCGTATTGGAACAAAATTTTCAAAATGGCTAAATGTCCACAAATGGCTCCCAAATGAAACGGTGTCTCTAAATCATTTGTTTTTTGTTTGACGTCTGCACCAGATTCCAATAGTGTGACAACCACGTCCTCGTGGCCATAGCAGACGGCAGTATGTAACGCTGACCAATTATCGTGATCCACATGATTAATATCCACTCCGCTTCGGATCAACAATCGGCACATTTCCGTATGTCCCAGACAAGTTGCCGCATGAAGAGGTGCAAATCCGTCGACTTGATCCATATTGATGGCAGCTCCAACGGATAGAAGATATTCGGCTAATTTCACATGGCCGTAAGTTGCTACCCAGTGCAATGGCGTTCTCTGATCACTATCGCGGCTGTTGACATCGACACCATGATCCGCTAGTGCTTTCACCACCTCTAAATGGCCCTTCGAAGCAGCCAAGTGTATTGGGGGACGGTACCACTTTAAGTCGGTAAGATCAGCCTGGTTAGGATCGGCATTAAAATCCAGCAGTAGTTTCACGACTTCTGTGGTACCACTACATGCTGCTATACAGATCGGACTCTGACAGTCGATCATGAAGTTGGGTGAAATTTTTTTCACACGTAATAAATAATCCAATGATTGTAGATCGTTACAGGTAACGGCTGTTAGTAGTTTCTCTAAGTCATCTGGTGGGTACACGCCATCAACCTCCATCTTCAAAAAAAAAAATGTTTATCATAAGTGTTGGATTATTATAAATTTATGTCAGATATGGGGAGAAATGATTCCTTTTGAGGGAGCCACTGTGGTTCAGTGAGTAGGATGTTGGCTCGCTAACCTGGCGGTAACATGTTCGAATCGACATTGGCCGAGAAGTTTGTTGGGATTTTATGCCGTGGTCCCCCCATTTCATTCCTTTTAGCATACAAAGAAGAAATACGGTGAAAAATAGAAAGTAAGGGTTTCAAAATAGCCATTGAACAGAGGTGTTGGTTGGTAGAGCATTATTTTCATTAATTTCATATTACTTGTTAATAGAATGGGACAGCAATGGTCACAGCACTGTTCTTAACCGGCTGCTTTTGTGGTAACCACATACGACGTACGTTAGAATAGCCTACGACATTCTCCATTAACAAGAAATATTTTTGTTGAAGTTTCAATATATTAAAGGGAATGGAAGCTTATAATTAACCTACTATACTATCGGGACCTCATCTGACCCAATTCTGGTTGGTTCTTTCAAAATGGATTAAAAACAATGGGTCATACATGTAGTAGCCTACTTTGTCCGTTTAGTCCCCATCTTCAAAATAAAATGTTTATCGTAAGACCACAACAATTCAATTTTCTGTTCTTGACTTTAAATTTCAAATTTCAAAACTTTGAACTAATTTATGGCTGTTTAGTCCATTATACACGTTTTGGTTTTTTTTATTACTAAAAATACTATTTTGACATTTGTGAATCAGCCATTACTAATTACTTCCACATTGTCTTGTGGGGGGGGGGGGGATTTTTCTTTGTTCATTACAAATGGCACCCGAAACCATATAGGCCAAGGGTACACAACTGATTATAAAATGTTAATTGTGTCTTACATATTGGATACGGTATTTGGATCCTATAGAATTCAAATTCAAGTTTTAATTTCGAATAATATGGATAATACTGAGTTAGGGGTTTAGCTCATTTAAAAACAGAGAATAAAGGAAGGCGATCGTTATTCAGATCGTTTCTAAGGATGCCACTCAACAAAAGGTGCAACCGTTTGAGGGGGTGGGGGTTGCAGGAGGGGGGAGGGGGTTGGTCTAGAACTTGGTAAATCTAATGAATGTTAACGTAGCATGTACCTTTAAACACAGACTATACAATTTCACTTCAAATCCAAGAGTTCGTTTTCATTATAAACAAAGCGGCCATCTTTGCAAATAACATTTGGTTGTATCTCTCAGTTTGGACACGGATCAATCGAACCCGAGTAACTCATATAGATGAGTTTCAACAGTTACAAGTTATCTGATCGTTGGGATAAAGAATTTGAATAATATTTTGAGGTACCTGTAGTTGCATTTCTCTGTAAACTAGTATACACTTAATTTTCATAATGATTTTTGTGTAGGAATATTTGCACATTATCGTTTAATCCTGCGTTAATTTCTTTAAGGCGTTGAAAAATTCATAACTATCGGGTAATGTCATTCAATTTGCACTTGTGTCCAATTTAAATCTCACCGTTTGATTTTGATAACGACTGTCCAATTAACTATTGTTTACTTTGCCGATATGTGTTCAATTATAAGCTTATAAAATTATCAGGGCTGATCAATTATTAAACATACATGATGTAAGAGCTAAATCTGCCTATTGCTTGTCTTTCTTTAGGCCTGAAATGTTTTCTAAAGTATTAATTAGACATTAATTAACTGATCCAGGCCTTAATCAACTCTTGATGGCATCAGATTTCTCCGATATTAAATAGATTAGAATGGTTCAGCAATACTTTGATTTAATCAAATATGGAGGACCGAGACTTAGCTTCGATCAACCAGTACGGTGGTTGAAATTATTGCACACGTCTGTCAAACCTTCAAAGGCTAATATCTTCGCTTCAATAGAGTAATTTGAATGAAATTTTCAAATTTTTCATTTTACATCATCTACTTTCGAACTATTATAGCAAGAATGGCTAGTTCTTTGTCTTAATCTTACATAATGTATCTTTAATTGAACGGTTCAATTTCCTGAGCCGTGATTAAAATTAGCCAATGTGTCCAATTACGCAAGATGTTCATATTTGTCGTCATATATCTAATTGTTCAGATTTTAACGATGTGTTATAGTTGTACGTCGTTGGTCAGTTTAGCAGCCAAATGTTTATTTAACCGTATGCGGTGCAAAAACGGACAGCATGTTCATTAATGCAGTGGGGTTTAGTTTTTCAGGTTTAATAGATTCTATTGCCAGGTTTTAGAAAATATGACGAGGTTTAGATTATATGCGTGTCGTTTAAATACCTAAACATGTGTATAATTGTTATTACGTTCTGTCCTACTATTTATGTTATGTTATTTGTCTAAGAATCAAACCAATCACATGATTTCATTGAAGTCACAGTCATCCAGCAAATTCTCTATAGTGTTCTGGCTTATAGTGTGGCTGATAAATAATTTTCCTGTTAAATTAAAGCTAAATTAAAGAGTACATCCCTTGGTATTTTGACACTTACGCACTTTTGTTGGACCCATTGTTTCTATTGTAAGGTCGGGAGCCACGGTGCCTAAGTGGATAAGACTGTAGCTCGCTGGTCTGGGGCCATTGCTTCAGGAATATGGGTTTACCTGAGGAATTTTCTCGACCAACAGCAGCAGACCCGAGATCAGCAACTTACTTATACTGAGTCTCTGCAAGAGGTTGGAATGACCTGAAATGAAATGAAATGAGGTTTAACGTCCTACTGTTCTGCTCCGACTGGGCTAATGAAGACTAACAGATGCCATACAGTGTGCTATGTGGGAAATTTTGCCCGGACAGCAGCACTACGGCCTACTCATATATCAAATTACAACTGTCACCAGTTGGTGAAAACCACATTTGATTGAATTGAAGCATCCGGATAACATTTTTAAAGTTTTAGTTATTCAATGGAATGAAATGAAATGGGGTTTAACGTCCTACTGTTCTGCTCCGAACTGAGCTAATGAAGTGTGCTATGTGGGAAATTTTGCCCGGACAGCTGCACCAATGACCTACTCTTATATATTGAAGTCCAAATGCCACGGGATCTTTTTTGTGCACACCAATGTATACACAATCTTTCATCCCAATGAACTTTCTCGGCCAATACAGGTCATTTGACTAACATATGGTTTAATTTTATTTCAATAATTCGCTTGCTCTCAGGGGTCTTTAGCAGTGGGAGGAAACCGGAGGACCCGGAGAAAACCCACGAGGTTAGACAGGCAAACCTACTCTTTGTCACATACAACCGTGGATTCGAAACCACGTCAGTTGACTCAATGACAGGCCTTATGATACAGCTCGCATGTGCTAACCATTCGGCCATCAGAGTGCCTAATCTGTTCTGTTGATCATTCTAGAAATTAGATCTGAAAACAAATCTAGGTACTCTAACAACCCATCAAAAGACGATTCTACATGGAAATGACAATTAAGATATTCGCAGATTTTGGTTTCAAAAATACCTTATAACTGATATCTTCACTATGTTAATACCTCAAATATTTATTTTTACCTTGATTGATTATTCTTCAGTCTTTATATAAAGTGAGAGAGAAATGGGGTTTAACGTTTACTCGACACAAACTAGGTCATTTCGGGACTAACACATGATTCAACTTTATTTCCTCAATTCACCTGCGCATAGGGGTCTTTAGCAGTGGGAGGGAACCTGAGGACCCAGAGAAAACCCACGAGGTTGGACAGACGACCTTACCCCATGTCACGTACAACAGGGGATTCGAAACCCCGACAGCTGACAGACCTTATGATACAACGAGCACACGCTAACCATTTGGCCATCCAATCCCCCGCTCTTTAAAGAAGCCTGTTTGCATCGTAAATGTAATAAATGAAATGAAATGAAATGGGGTTAACGTCCTACTGTTTTGCTCCTACTGGCTAATGAAGACGGGCATACGCCATGCAGTGTGCTATGAGGGAAATTTTGCCTGGGCAGCGGCGCTACAGCCTACTCTTATATCGAATTCCAACTGCCATGGGATCTTTTACGTGCACGCCAATATGTACACGGGACCTTGGTTTTTCGTCCCATCCGAATGACTAGACAGATACCCATGTCAGCTCCTCCGTCCTGCATCACTGACAATGTAATGGAGTTAACCATTCTACTGTTCTGCTCCGACTGGGATCATGAAGAGCGGCTTATGAG